CAGTAGTCCCGTTAAAAATATCAGATATATAACCTGCGAAAATAAAGTGTCGCGAAAATTTGGTGGTTTACAGTATTTACCACGTTTACAGTAAAAACGGAGAGGCTCATTACTTCAAACATCTGTACGCATGATTGTTTTCGATAGAAAAATCATACTCAGATTTAATTATCAGAATTTAATATCCTATTATAACCTTTCTCCTTAGATTTCACGTGGAAGCGATGTGTATTTAGGTCAGTGGTTGTAGCCTTCATACTTTTCATGGCGGAAACGATCCCCACATTTGGCGCCATTTTATCCTTAGTGGGCGGATCCACGGTGACGTTGTTAGCCTAATCTGTCCGTCTCTGTTCTATCTCAAACTTAAGTCTGTTCGTCAGGAGGACATGGTGGAAATCATAAATGGAAACAAGGCTGATAGTATTAGTCTTCCAGATGAAGAAAGGTATAAGGACTTTACAGTAAACCTAGATATAAGAATACCTGTTGTTCCAGATTTTACATTTATCACTAGGAGCAATTGTGAGAAGAAACTGAAAAGAATTGATTCATATATTTTAACTATAAATCTATTATCTGCTTTAGCAATACACCTAATTTCAAAAATTATGTTGCAAAAATAACCACATATTAATTTACTTTATTGTTTTATCCATATCAGCAAACCATGCTTTTTATGACACAAAATCCCGTGGCTTGCGACGTTGGCTTCTGATAGGTCCATTCGATTTTTTAATCCCTTGTCCTTTTATTTCAGTCGTGGTCTTCCGCTGTGGGTTAAGGTCTAACATTGAAATCATTCTACTGGGAGCCGTGGCCGGTATGCCTCGACTTACTCCGCCATTAAGTCCATCATCAGCAGCGACTTCTCCAAACCGTGTTACGTATGAAGAAGCAGTGGTTCATATCAGTATTAACTCTTACGTCCCGGGGATTTCGTCACCAAGGGTTTTAACATTCTTCGCCCCCCAAAAAATGGCAGGAGAGAGAGAGCGATATATTTTGTACAGGGAATGATTTCCGGTGCATAAAAATGAGATTTGTCATTCCTTAGTGATAATAATAATATAATAACAGTTAAAAGAAATAATTTGATAAATGCTTTATTGATGTCAATTTATATTACAAAGTTTAATACATACACAGTGTTTATTTAAATGCTGATTATTATATAGAAATGGAAAATTTGAAGGGAACGTCAAAAACATTTACTCAATATAAAAGAAATGAAAACTAAAATTCTCTAAATAAAATACTTTCTTGCTTCATTTTGACTTTCGCTTCTTCTACAGTGTCGGTAACAATTTTCAAAATTATATATACAGTTAAATACATTTATAGCAAATGCATGTTTATTTTTAATGTCATTCAAGCAAATTATGAATTCTTTCTTTCCTTACTATGAATAAATGATGAAATTGAAAACAATAAAGATAATCCTAGCTGTCTTTGAAGGCTAATTAGGTCTGCATTCCTTACAGTGTTCATTATTTGATGAAGGGGAATACTCCTTGAAAAGTACTAAATATTTTATACAATGTATTTTCTTTAGGTATAATAGATGTCAAGCAAAAATATTTATCAGTGTATCTAGTGACTATGTCTTTACTGGTCAATTTCAGATTTTGGAATATTGTGCCAAAGGGAATTGATCAACGAGAGTAATGACCGGTCTCTGTCGGACTGAAGCTCTAGGTCCTTACTTGACTGGACAACTGCTTGATTTCCGGCGTTCTGTTCCTTCAGAGCAGGGGCAAAATCCAAAACATGCCAGCCTCACACCCCTATAGTGTAAATAAAGACTGTAAAATCACATGTTTTCTTTGGGTTGAAAATTATTTGATTGCAGGGAAATTATTCCGTCGTTGATATTGCCGTAGAGGATATTTTAAATTGTGTCTCTTTGTAAACACTCACGAAAATTGTATAAGCAGTCGCAAACTTAAATGTCTAATTTTGACACTTACGCACACTCCAGTTTGCAGGGATTGAGATAGACGAGACCGTCCGAACCACAGACAGGAAAGTCCGGGTACCCCTCACAGTCACAGCACGGACACTCGTTCTGACACGCCACGCTCACGTTCCTATAAACACGTGACCCTGGATTAATTCTTACATGCTTAAAACCAAGTTTCTGCCTCACCATAAAATTTTAATTTTTTAAGTTATCATGAATACTAAAATAACAAAGTACATGCAGTACCAATACTTGTATATTAATATCTTATACATTGAATTAAACATGGATGATATGAATAGATACCTAGCTCACTGCAATTTTCTGAACTAGATATTCGGAGTTTAAAAATATCCGAATAAAAAAATATCCGTATTTTTTTAAGTAATTGAATTTATGTACAGAGATTATTTGGATCCTTACAGACATTTGGCTTGACATTTGTTGGAGCACGTCACATTGTTGGTGCCGCAGACGGGAGCAAACTCCATTGACACGCACAAGGCTCTGAGCAAGGACAAGTACCATTACAGGCAATGGTGGCCGCACTGCAACGTTTCAAAACTTTATTTTTGATCATGATTAACAATTATTTTAGAAAGTGATACAAGTATATATGCATGCGAACAGCACTTTAAAGCTAAAGGTCTAAATACCAAGACAAGAATACAATTATAGGATAGAAAAAACAAGAGCGCTTGACATGCTGTCAGCTTACTCGCACGCTGCCTCGCATGCATTGGTGTAGTTTTGTCCTCTGGTACTACAGACAGGTTCGAGGGTGTCCGAACAGTTACAGGAAGCAGGGCAGGGGCACTCCCCGGAACAGGCTGCCGGTACCTCCCTATAGACACAAAATTAACTACGTACTCCTTTTCTCAAGTAAAAATTTGCGATTTTTTAATTGAAAAAATTAAATTATACCAGTGTATGTTAAAATCCACATAAAAGCCACTGGACAAGGTTTTCTTTTCGTTTAAATTGTCATAAGAAAAGATTGCTGACTTTATAGCTTGCCTGACTTATTATTACTCACTGACTTTATAAAACAATGTGCCTATTTCCCACTTTTTTTAAAAAAAGTTTTTCCCCAAAATTTTTTAATTTTTGGGGAAAGGTTTTTAAAAAAAAAAACCCCCTTTCTTTAATTTTTTTAAAAAATTTTTTTTAAAAAAAAAAATTTTTTAAAAAAAACAAAAAAAAAAAAAAAAAAAAAAAAATTTTTGAAAAATTAAAATTTTAAAAATTTTTGGGGAAAAAAGATTTTTTTAAAAAATTTGGGGGGGAAAAATTTTTTTGGGGGGGGGGGGAAGTTTTTTTAACCCCCCCCAAAAAAAAGGAAGGGAAAAAATTGGGGGGGGGTTTAAAACTTTTTTTTTAAATTTAAAAAAAAAAAATTTTAAAAATTAAAAAAAAAAAAATTTTAAAGGGGGGGGGGGGGAAAAAAAAAAAAACCTTGAATTTTTTTAAAAAAGGGGGGAAAAATTTTTTTTGGAACCAAAAAACCAAATTTTAAAAAAAGGGGGGGGCCCCCCCCCCGGGGGGGCCCCCCCCCAAAAAAATTAAAAATTTTAAAAAAAAATTTTTTTTTTTTTTTAAAAAAAAAATTTTAAAAAAATTTTTTTTCCCCCCCCAAAAAAATTTAAAAAATTTCCTTTTTTTTTTTTTTAAAAAAAAAAAAATTTTTAAAAAAAATTTAAAATTTTTAAAAAATTTCCCCTTTAAAAAAAATTTTTTTTTAAAAATTTTTTTAAAAAAAAAAAATTTTTCCCTTTTGGCCTTTTTTTTTAAAAAAAAAATTTTAAAAAAACCCCTTTATATAAAAAAAAACCCCCAAATTTTTTTTTAAAAAAACCAAAAAAAAATTTTTTCCAAAATTTTTTTTTTTTTTAAAAAATTTTAAAATTTTTTGGTTTTTTTACAAACTTCCCCCCCCAAAAAAATTTTTTTCCTTACCTTTTTTTTATTTTTTTTTTTCCCCCAACCCCAAATTTTTTGGGGGGGCCCCCCCTTTTTTTTATTTTTTTTTTTTTTTTTAAAAAAAAATTTTAAAAAAAAGGGGAAAAAAAAAACCCTTTGGAAAATTTTTTTTCCCCAAAACCCCCCGGGGGGCCCGGGCCCTTTAAATTTTTTTTTTTCCCCGGGGCCCTTTTTTTTTTCCCTTTTTTTGGGGGTTTTAAATTTTTTTTAAAATTTTTTTTTTTAAAAAACCCCCCCTTTTTTTTCCTAAAAATTTTTTTAAAAATTTAAAATTTTAATTTTTCCCCAAAAAAAAAAAATTTTTTTGGTTTTTTTTTTTAAAAAATTTTTAAAAATTTAAAATTGTTTTTTTTTTAATTTTTTTTAAAAAAAAAACCCCAAAAAAAAGAACCCCCAAAAAGGGCCCCCCCCCCCCCCCAAAAAAGGCCCCCAAAAGGGGAAAACAGGTTTTGGGTTTTTAAAAAAAATTTGCCCCGGGGGGTTTTTTAAAAAAAAATTTTTTTTTTTAAAAAAAATTTTTAAAAATTTTTTTTAAAAAAATTTTTAAAAATTTTTTTTTAAAAAAAGAAAAAAAAAAACCCTTCCAAAAAATTTAAAATTTTTAAAAAAAAATTTTTTTTTTCCCCCCCCCCAAAAAAAAATTTTTTTTTTTTAAAAAAACCCCCAAAAACCCCGGGGGTTTTTTAAAAAAAAAAGGAATTTTTTTAAAAAAAGGGGGGCCCCCCCAAAGGGAAAAAAAAATTTTTTAAAAAAAAGGGGGGGTTTTCGGGGGAAAGGGGGAAAATTTCCCCCCCCCCTTTTTTTAAAAAAAAGGGGGAAACCCCCCCTTTTTCCCCCCAAAAAAAATTTTAACCCGGTTTAAATTTTGGGTTTAAACCCCAATTTAAAAAATTTTTTTTTTTTTCCCCCCCCCCGGGGGAAAAAAAAAAATTTTTTTTTAAAATTTTTTTAAAATTTTAAATTTTTTTATTTATTTTTTTTTTTAGAAAAAAAAAAAAAAAAAAAATTTTTTAAAAAATTTTAATTTTTTTAAAATTCCCCGGGGGTTTTTTAAAAAAACCCCGGGCCCCCCCCCTTTTTTTTGGAAAAAAAAAAAAAAATTTTTAAAATTTTTTTAAAATTTTAAAAAAAAAAAACCTTTTTTTTCCCCCCCCGGGAAAAAATTTTTTAAATTTTTTTTAAAAAAAAAAAAAAAAAAATTTTTTTTTTTTTAAAAACCCAAAATTTTTTTTAACCGGAAAAAAAAGGGCCCTTTTCCCCCCCCCCGGGGGCTTTAAAATTTTTGGCCCCCAAAAGAAAAAATTTTTTTTTTTTTAAAAATTTTTTTTTTTTTTTAAAAATTTTTCCTTTTTTTTTAAAATTTTTTTTTTAAAAAAACCCCTTTTTTTTAAAAATTTTTTAAAAATTGAAAAAAAACCCCAAATTTTTTTTTGGGGAAAGGGTTTTTTAAAAAATTTTTAAAAATTTTAATTTTTTTTTTCCCAATTTTTCCCCTTTTAAAAAATTTGGCCCTTTTTTTGGGCCCCTTGCCCCCTTTTTTGGGAAAGTTTTTGTTTTTAAAGGGGGGGGGAAAAAAAAAAGGGAAAAAACCCCCAAAAAAACCGACGGGGAAAGAAAAAAAAATTTTTAAAAAAAATTTTGGGTTTTCCCCCTTTTTTTTTGGATTTTTTTTTTTTTTTTTTTTTTTTAAAAAAAAAAATTTTTTTTTTTATTTTTTTAAAAAAAAATTTTTAAAAAGGGGGTTTTTTTAAAAAAAAATTTTTAAAAATTTTTTTTAAAATTTTGTTTTTTTTAAAAAAATTTTAATTTTTTAAATTTTTAAAACCCCCCCCCCCTTTTTTTTTTTCCCCCTTTTTAAAAAAAAAACCCCCCCCAAAAAGGGGGGGGAAATTTTCCGGGGTTTTAATTTTAAAAAGGGGGGTTTTTTAAAAAAAAAAAAAACCTAAAAAAATTTTTTAAAATTGAAAAAGGCCCTTTTTTTTTTTTTTGGGGAAAAAGGGGTTTTAAAATTTTTTTTTTGGGGGCCCCCCCAAAAAAATTTTTTTTTAAAAAAAAAAATTTTTTTTTGGGAAACCCCGGGGGAAAAAAATTTTTTTTAAAGGGAAAAAAAATTCCCCCCGGGAATTTTAAAAAACCCCAAAAAAATTTTTAAAAAAAAAATTTTTTTTTGGGAAAATTGGGAAACCCCTTTTTTTTTTTTCCCCCCAAAAAATTTTAAAAAAAATTTAAAATTTTTTAAAAAACCCCCCCTTTTTTAAATTTTGGGAATTTAAAAAATTTTCGGGGGGGGGGGTTTTTTTTAAAAAAAAAAAAACCCCAAAATTTTGGGGGGAAAATAAAAATTCCCAAAAAAAAAAATTTTTTCCAAAATTTTTTTTTTTCCAAAAAATTTCAAAGGGCCCCTTTTAAAAATTTTATAATTTTTAAAACCCCCTTTTTAAACCGAAGGGGGATTTTATTTTTGGTTTTTAAAAAATTTTAAAAAAAAAAAATTTTTTTAATAAAAAAAAAATTTTTTTAAAAAAATTTGGAAAAAAAATTTTTTTTAAAAATTTTTTTCCAATAAATTAATTAATTTACAAATACAAAATAATTAATTTATTTTTATAAAAAAAAAAAAAAAAAAAAATTTTTTAAAATTTGTAAATTTAAAGTATTTTTTTTTTTTTTTAAAAAATTTAAAAAATTTTTTTAAAAAAAAATTTTTTTTTTCCCTTTTTTTTAAAAAAAGGGAAATTTTTTTTTAAAATTTTAAATAAAAAAAAAATTAAAAAAAAAAAACCCCAAATTTAAATTTTAAAAAATTATTTTGAAAATTTAAATAAAAAAAATTTTTTTTTTGAAAAAAAAAAGGGTTTTTTTTATTTTTTTCCCTTTTTTTAAAAATTTAAAAAAATTTTTTTTTAAAAAAATTTTTTTTTGGGGTTTTTTTTTGGTTTTTTTAAAAAAATTTTAAAAAAAAAAGGGGGGCCCAAAAAACCCCAAAAATTTTTTAAAAGGGTTTTTTTTCCCCCCGGGGGTTTTTTTTGGGGGTTTTTAAATTTGGTTAAAAAATTTTAAAAAAATTTTTTTTTTTTTAAAAATTTTAAAAAAAAAAAAAAAAAAAAGGGGCCCCAAAATTCCCCCGGGAAATTCCTGGGGCCCCCAAACCCCCTTTTAAGGGAAAAAAAAGGGGCAGTTTTTTTTTTTGGGGATGTTTAAAAACCCTTTTTGGGTTAAAAAGGGTTTTAAAAAAATTTTTTTTTTAAAAAAAAAATTTTTTTTTTTTGAACCCAAAATTTTTTTTAAAAATTTTTTAAAATTAAAAAAAATTTCCCCCCAAAAAAAAAATTTTTTTTTCAAACCCAAAAAAAGGGGGTTTTTGGGAAAAAAAGGGAAAAAATTTTTTCCCAAACCCCGAAAAAAAGGGGGAAAACCCCAAAAAACCAAAAAAAGGGCCCCTTGGGTTTTTTTTAAAAAAAAATTTGGTAATTTAAAAAAAAAAAAATTTTTAATTATATTTTTTTAAAAATTAACTTTTTTTTAAAAAAATTTTTGGTAAAAAAAAAAAAAGGGGTTTTGGGTTTAAAAATTTTTAAAAAAAATTTTAAATTCCCTTTAAAATTCCCTTTTTTTTTTGGGTTTTTTTTTTGGGGGTTTTAAAACCCCGGGGGGAAGGGGGTTTTTCCCCCCGGAATTTTAAAAAAAAAATTTTTAAGTTTAAAAACCCTTTGAAGGGGGTTTTTTAAAACCTAAAAAAAAAAGGGGGAAAAGGGGGGGGCAAAAAAAGGGGAAAAAATTTTTTTAAAAACCTTTTTTTAAAATTTTTTTTTTTTTTAAAAAATTTTTTCTTGTTTTTTTTTTAAAAAAAAAAAAAAAAAAGGG